GAATCTTGAGTCTAGAGGAGAGGGGTAGGGGTGCGGAGAGCCCAGGCTGTGAGACTGCGCCTACAAGAGCGGCCTTAGCGCTTTCGAATGTTACTCTCTCCCTGCCCCCCCCTTCCCAGGCACAAGTCTATTACTTCATGTTATAAGGGGGCGGCTTGCAAAACTGAAGATGGGTGGGTGAGGTGACTTAGTCTCTAGGTCTAGGTCTCTAGACTTGTAAAAGGTGCGCGTTTGGAACCCAGGAATCCGAACACTTATAACGTGCAGGGCACACTGTTAACAGGTTGTGACCCAGGACGCATCTCCAGCTGATCATTGCCACCTGGCATTAAAAGGTTAGTGTTGTGACTTTATTTATGTCTAGGCATTAAGAGTGGCAACTAGGGAACAGGCCACCAGCATGACCTGGAGCCTGTATGCTGGCTGCAGGTGGGAGTGCAGCTGAGGCCCCTGAGTGATCCATTCTGGGAAGGTGTTTACTGGAGCCTCAGGGTAATACCTTTTACCTAGTGTGGACCAGGTGCCTGATCTCTGGGGGAGTAGAACAAGCGAGTATAGTGGGTAGCCTCAAATGTTTTCCCATCCCAGGGCAATTGCATCTCTGGAGGGGCTGCTCTGATGAGTCCCAAAATAATTTCCACTGAGGCAGCCTTATGGCTTCTTAGGACAGGGGAAAACCAACCACAGCCAGTCTCACTGGCAGATCAATGCTGAGCAGAGAGCAGGAACTCAATTTAGATTATCAAGCAAATCCTAAATCTGGACCCAGGCTGCTCCACCAAGGACTGTTTTGGGCTTCAGAGAACTGTTTTCAGGAGGAGTGGTGGAGTGGTGAGCAGGTGGTGGGGCTCTTTGGACTCTACTCAGATTGTTCTTCCCAAGGGCTGTCACTCTGGCTCTGGAACTGTGGGCCTTTGACTGGCCCAACATTTCTGCCTAAGGGTCCAGCCAAAGTAAACAGAGCAAGTTGTTCCCTAACCTAGTCTCCTATTCAGTGTCCTTCGTGTAAAGGAAAGGATGCCATCTCCAGCTGATCACTGAGACCTGGCACTAAACGAAAGACCTGCCCTCCTCCCTTCACTCCTCAAACAAAGCAATCACTACAGCTGAAACCACATTCCCGCTCTTCAAACACAGCTTCTGCCCTGGACCAAGGCAGCAGCCTCCTAACTGGTCTCCCTGCCTTCCTCCTCCAATCCACTTTCTCAGAGAAGCCTGTTATTTAGAAATACATAGCTGACAATTAACATTTCATGTCAGTGAAGGTTTATAGGTCTCTTGCTGTGTGCCAAGCCTGTGCTTCATCACTTCGAGTGTCTCCTGAAGACCACAGTCTTCTGTTACCCTGCTGCCCCTGCATTCCTACAGGACTGCACGGGTAACCCTCTCCAGTCCCTTCTCACCCATGCCTTTCCTACCACCACACAGTCAGGAGGTGCTGTTTGCACCCTGGCCAGCCATGGGACACAGTCCCCTCCATATCACACCGAGCACAAATCATCTGTCTCCTTGTCAGTCTCTCCCCTGTTTGGATCCCAGGCACACTCAACTTGGCATTTCATAGGGGCTCAATAACCCCCTCGTGAACGCCTGCATAAATGAATGAATCTCAAGAGTCCAGGAGCGTGAGCGGGAGGCTGGGAGCATGAAGTTGAATAAAGCCAGCCAGCCATTCATTCTTTCATTCATCTGTGAGCCCCCAACTGCCAAGCTCCCTCAGCTGAGGGGGGTGGGGTGGAGGGTGGCCTGGCTCGGCGGGGCCCGGGGGCGAAGGACGGGAAGGGGCGGGACGCGGCGCGGGAGCCTCAGCCGGAACCCAGAGGCAGAGGAGCTTGCGGGTGGGGCTTGAAGAATGCCCTGGGTTCCCGGGTCCGCTCTTTCCTGCCCGCACGTTATCCGCAAGTAACCTATGTCCCAATCAGGCTGAGGCCCGACGCCTCCGAACTTGGAGCCCCGCACCAACCAGACCCCGGGAACCTTCAGGCGCAGCGATACACGGCCCAAGACCCTCCTACCTCCACCCCAGCCGGCTCGGCCCTCGCCCGCCTGCCTGCGGTCTTCCCTAGCCCGCTCGCCAGCAGAGGTCTTCCAGGGACATGCGGCCGCTTTCCGCCCCACACCCTGCCCTGAGTACCCACCGGCTTGGCTCTTCGGGTGCGCGGGTGGGGGCCGGGCTGGGCGGCGTGGCCGCTCGGAGAATCCGCGGACCCGGCACCCTCTCTCCGCCCAAGGCCCGCCAGGGGCCGGGCCGCAGCCTGTCGTCATCCCGGGCAGGGCCGGTACTCAGGCGCGCGCGCGCTCGGGCCCCGCCCCGCCGGCCCTGCTCCGGGCCCGGCCTGCGTCTGCAGAGGTGGAGGCCGAACTTCTTAATCAGCCCGCGGGACGCGGCATGCCGCAATCGCTCTTACACACGCGTCCTTCTCTGGCCAGAGACCACGCAGACACGGCCCACTCTGCAGTCCTGAGTGGGTGGGATCGTCAACTGGGATTGTCCTTCCTCGTGCCAGGGCCCTCTTCCCCCCCCCCAGCCCCTCCCAGGGGTGCTAGGCCGGGGCAGTTCTTCCCCATTTCTAAATGCCTCTCCGCTTTCACCCACTTCCTCCGCCCACGCTGCTTGCTCTGAGTCGGTCAGACACAGTTCCGGGGACCGGCTGAAAAAGCGGACACATTCACAGTATGTGCCTGGGGCTTGACATACATTAGTCCTTTGACCTCAGAGCAGCTCTGTCACCTACCTGCTCAGAGACCTAGAGGGGAGATGCAAAATCAGATCTCTGATTTGAAAAATTGTTTCTATAGGGGTTGAAGAAAGGAAGAGAATGGGGAAAAAGAAAAAAAGAAGATATATCATGTACAGGTACAAATTCCCTATGATGGAATGTTACCATGTATATCTAAAATGTACCAATAAAATTTTTAAAGGGCCAGGGAGATGGCTCAGTGGAATAAGTGCTTCCCTGGCAAATGCAAAGGCCTGAGTTCAACCCCCGGTTCCGCCAAAAAAAATTAAAAATAAAAAATCCTGCTTCTAACGGCTCTGAATTCTTTGCCCTTTCCTTCTACCTACTCCCTGTCCAGTCCTTTTTTGAATACACCACGGATCAAAATGCATCTTACTCTTAACCTCTTTCCAGAGAACCTTTACAAGGGGTGCCCCTGGGAAAATACTGCCACCCTTCCTCCCAACCCAGAGCATCCCAGCTTACAAGCTTGCATGGCCTGTAGGGATCAACCACGCGGATGATCTCCCCGGTGGGTATCAGCTCCACTTGCAACGCCATTCTGCCCTTTGGAAGCCAGCTTGCGCAGAGCTCAATACTGAGGCCTCTCAGCCAAAGTTGCCTGTTGCCTACTGACTCTGGCCGCTCCGGAGCCAGGAATCTAGTGTCAGGCTGGAATAGCCACTTGATTCTGCTTCAACTCCAGCCCCAGGGGATGTGGCTGGTCCAGCTCCTCAGGACACAGCTGGAGCAGTCCAGGTCTGATTGGGAGGCCTCTGGGCTGGAGGGCTGGGGCAGGAAGAGGAGGGGCAGAGGGATGGAGGAAATGCCTGTTGTCCCAGGTAACCAGAGGAGTTGATGCAGCCAACTGTAGGGGACCCTGGGTTCTAGGTCAAAGGGTAGTGAGCCTTTTACCCGTTAGCAGCTCCTTGGCTGGGTTTCCCCTATTGCCCATTATCTGGTATCAGCTAGAGGCCAGTGACCACTCCCCTAACCTGAGGACACATCCTCTCCCCCAAGCCAAGAAGATCTGTTAGTAGACACTACTCCTCCCCCATCCCTGGAACACAGAACAAGAGATAAGCCCTTATTTTTTGAGATGCAGTCTTGCTGTTTCCCAAGCTGGTCTTTTACTCCTGGGCTCATGATCTTCCCACTTCAGCTTCCCTAATAGTTGGTACTACACACATGCACCACTATGCACAGGTTGTAGAGGTTTAGACCAGGGTGGGCCATGATAGACGGGATTATTAGGAGAGGCAGGAAGCCACTGTAAAGACAGCTATCTCCCCTTCTCTAGGGCCTCAAATATTTGAGGGGTTGGTTCCTGGGTCCCTTGGGTATGTGGAACCTCTAGCTCTTTGCTTATTTTTTGACTGCACCCCCAAGTGCCCCACACCCCATGTTCCTGTTTTTCTCCATTGTTGCTAAATCACAGCTGACATTTTCCTGGCCTGGAATTAAGCACTGTAGTCTCCTGGCCATTCCTTATAGGAAGTGAGAATGGAGAAGCGGATGGGGGAAAACAGATCTCTCCAGAGGGAGAGGCTGGCATGGGAGGGGCTGGTGTCTAGTGGCATGGACACAAGGGATCCACAGGCGGTGCCCATAGGCACTCGTCCCTTCCCTCCCCAAAGCTCCCCCCCTCCCGCCCAGGAAAGGCCTGCGAAGCTTCCTTCCTTCCTCTGGGAAACACATCCATCCAGGGCAGACTCATCCCGGTGACCACACAATGGCCCTTATCAGCTGTGGAGCCAGGCAGAGACCCAGTGGAGACCAAGTCTCACATATTTCCTGTTTCCACCCAGCAGGTCAGGGGTGGGCCCAGAGCAGCCATATCCTGACTGGGGCCAAGAGGAGGGAGCGCAAACCCCTTCCCTTTTCCGCCTCTCAATCACTGCTGGGCTCACTGCTCCCAATTAAGGAGGGGCCCTGCAACAGGAGGCTGGGACAGAAGTGTCGAAGTACTCAGTGCATAAAAGGGAGATGTAAGTGTGTGGAGAAATGGGGATCTTTGGGATAAGGAAGCCCTGGAGCCAAGTCCCAAGGATAGATGAATGAAAATATGGAGTGAGGATAATGCTGGATGTTTTTCCGCATGTATTTTTTTTTTTTTTTTAATTTGCTTCCTTGTAATAACCTTACAAACAGGTACATTTGAAATCATTTGGGGGGCCTGGGAGATGGCTCAGTAGAGTAAGCACTTCCTTGGCAAACGTAAGGGCCTGAGTTCAATCCCCGGTTCCACCAAAAAAAAAAAAAAAAAAGAAAAGAAATCATTTGTATTTTACAGACAACAGACGCTCCTCTGTGGTGAGATAGGGTAGGATTCAACACTGATTCAGCCCACAAGTCCAGACCCATTCCTGTATTTCTCTTCCCTCTGCCAGCATTAAGGAGTCACACATAGTATAAAAGCCACATTTCTAATTGTCCCCCAGTGTAACAGGCACAGAACACAGGCAGTTATGGCTTGCTGGAAGCTGAGGGGAAAATTCTTCATACACATGGCTCCCAGGGTAGAATACAGAATGCTGATCAACCGGAGTGACTCTGTCTCAGGTGGCAAATGGATGTGACAGTGACAGAGGTTTCCTGAAGTGTCTTCCCTAGAGAAAGGCTGTAGAGTCATCATAGGCAGAAGGCAATTGGCAGGAATGGGGAGAGGCTATGTTCACAGGGAACCTACAGAATGATCTCTGAGGTCCTCAGAGCCAGGTCCTCCAAACTCTCTTCATCCTGGCTTTTCCTTCCACTTGCCCGCTTAACCCTGCTTCTAGGTCTCTGAGGAGTCTGGTGGGGTGGGAAAGGGGGAGAGAGAAGGAGAGAGGGAGAGGGAGAGGGAGAGGGAGGGAGGGAGGGAGGGAGGGAAGGAGGGAAAGAGAAAAGAGGGAGAGGGAACGAGAGAATAGGGAGGGAGGGAGAAGCAGTTTCTTGCCAATGGCTAATGATGGGGGTGGGGAGGAGGGCAGATGAGTCTGAACTTGCAAGGATCATCCTAGATGTCTACGGTAAAGCTCCAGCATCACCTCTGAACTCCTCACAAGAGGGCAAGTTAGGGGCATGGGAATGCTTATCCACAGAAGCTACCTCAGCTCCCCAGAATTCTCTCGGCTCAGGCTCTGGGTTAAAATTCCAGTCAGGATAGGGGAAGGCTGTGCTGGCACAGACCTTCCTGACTGACCCACTCATAGCCACTGTATGTAAGAGCCTACGTGGCAGGGACCTTCAATCCTGTCCACTTGCTATACCACTTCTACTGAAACCAGGGATCCTCGACCCTCTGCTCTGCTCACCCACTATTGGGACAAGCCATGAAATGCTAAGACTTCTGGAACCCAGTGTTGCTTGGGGCCAGTACAAATGTTAGCATCTACCCTCAGGCAGCCTGAGGCCCAGGATGGCACGACAAAAATGTACGCCTGTGCCAGCTGGGGCATGTGCCTGGCAGGAGTGCTTGGGCAGGCCTGGGAGAGGGAGAGGGAGAGGGAGAGGGAGGGAGGGAGGGAGGGAGGGAGGGAGAGAGAGAGAGAGAGAGGGAGGGAGAGAGAGAGTTCAAGAAATGAGATGCATGTTGGAGGATCCTTCCCAAGTCTTCAATGCTGATAAACTAGCTAGTTTCACTCATATCTCAGTAATAAACACCTGTATTTTAAGTGCCAATTCTAGTGATTTAGCCTGCAGAGGGTAAGGAGGCTGGCTAGAGCGCACCCTGGGAGGTAGGAAGGTGGAAAATACTTGGCTGCTTCCTCAGGGGCTGGGCCTGTGGTAAAGCAGAGCTGGCTGCTAGCTGTAGCCTCCAACCTGGATTCAGTTGTTCCTATTTGGGCTCACATCTGTGCTTGGGCTTCACTTGGTAGATCTCCTGCCAAAAAGAAGCGAAGCGGTATCTGCAGGGATAAAACAGGTGGCAGAAAGGGGAATGTACATCATTCTCCATACCTTCTCACCACTTCTATTCCCAAAGGATATGGCCCTACATGTAGGGGTTTGCTCCTGAGCCGGGGGGCTCAAGTCCTCTGAAATACTCTTTTCCTTCCCCAACCAGCATCCCTTACCTTGAAGGGTTTGCTGATCCCCACCACAGAATGCAGATTGTTGCTATAATAACAGAGGAGAAACTGATCCTCAGTCTCAGGGATATCATAAATGTTAATGTAGACCTGAAGGGGAAGGTGAACAAGAATGGAGTCAGCTCTACTACCCAGCTACAAATCAGCACTCTTCTCCTTCTAAAAGAAAACAGTATACAGATGAGCCTGGCTGCTGGAATTGTACCTGGTTCAGGTTGTCATCGAAGGAGACCTGGTTGTCCCCAACCCAGACATAGGACACATAGTCATTAATGTGGCGCATCCCCACCTGTGGAAGGAGGTGGGAAAGTTAGTGGTTAAGGAGGACATGAGGGGCTGGTGAGATGGCTCAGTGGTCTAAAGCACCCACTTAGAACAAGCTTAGCAAAGCACAGGGACCGCGGTTCAATCCCCCAGCACCACATGCCAGGCAGCCCCGCCCCCTGGTGGGCTGAGCTAGCCACACACACACACACACACACACACACACACACACACACACAAATAAATAAAATTTTAAAAAAAAAGGAGGACATGAGAACTTACTGAAAATCCTAAGGAGAGGATGGTCCCATTGCTGGGGCTGGCCATTACACTATGTCTCCCTTCCCTTCCCTGCCTGCCCTTAGGAAGGTGAGAACCCCCGAGAGGGAGGGATGTCTACCTAGCTACCATGAGTCCTCAAGTGGGATAAAATGGGGGGCTGTGGCTGGTAGATTTCAGCCTTGCCTACCACATCACCTTGTACAGTCCAATCCAGTCCCAGGGGCTGCTCACAAAGTCTGGGCTTGAGGAGTAGCTGATCAACATGTCGTTCTCCATGGTCCATGGGCCCTCAGCCATTAGGGTGATCAGTGAGACAGACATCAATGGCTTCAGCTACACAGGAGCAGAAAGTGGGTTGAAATCTTATAAACAATTCCCTCCTCTCAAGCAACTGTTCCTCACTGTGTCCTTCCAGTACAGTGAGAGGAGCAGGGGCATCTAGAGGTCTAGGCATAGAACTTCATGGGCTACCCTAGCTGACCTTGGCTGGCCAGCAGCAAAGAGAAAGGGCCAAAGGCTTGGCAGAGGAGTAGCTGGCCTCACCAGGGAGAATGGGGCTGAGAGCCAGGAGGGTGACAGAGGGAGCCAAGTACTGAGGATGAAGGGAGAGGGATTGCTAGGAGGCTAAAGAATTCTTAAATTTTAAAAATTTATTTATTTATTTATTTGGTAAAGGGTCTTGTTATGTAGCTCACACTCACAGTAATCCTCTTGTCTCAGCCTCTCCAGCACTGAGGGCTGGCATGGTGGGCCTGAGCATGCAGTACCAGGGATTGAACCTGAGTCTTTGCACTTGCCAGGCAAGCACTTAGACCACTGAGCTATCTCCCTAGCTGCCTACAGCATTTCTGACTCAAAGGCCCCAATCTAGTATACACTAATAAGAACAGATATAATGATGAAGAGTGGCTTCCAGGCCACTGAAAGGAAATTTTTGTTGTTTTGAGGTACCAGGGATTGAACTCAGGACTCTGCACTTGCCAGGCAGGTGCTTATTCTACTGAGCTATCTCCCCAGTCAAGAACAGATATAAAAAAATAAAAATAAAAAATAAAAAGAACAGATATAAACATACCTGCAAAATGGTATAAGGATCGAGAAATTGGTATAAAAATGCAAAGGCTTAGGGATGGCCAGTGGGTTAAAGAAGTGAGCACTCTGTTGATGGCAATATATAAGGAGGGAGGGAGCTCCTTTTGCAACCTGATCCAGATAGGTTTAGGATGAATAAAAGGAAGTTCTATTTCACACAGTAGATAATAAGCTTAATGAAAACTCATTAGCCCCAAGGGAGAGTAGCAAGAGGAAATAGAAACCTATTCACAAGGGCTTGAACATGTTTTTGACAGACAGAGCCATCAACAGCTCCTAAGAGCTGGGATACCTGACCATAGGGGAAAGGCAATCATGTCCACTACAGCTGTTCCCTGGGGACTGGTTGATATTAGAATCCAGCCCTGGAGGGTTGGGGATGTGACTGACCCAGCATAATTCTCCCTTTGTCAAGTATAGGGCAGCCCAGAAGTTCACCTGAAAGTCAAATGTGCCAGTGACAGGCTTATGATCACTGATGCTGTACATCATGTGGCTCCTGTAGTCCTTCAGAGACAGAGTGAAGTAGGGGACAGGTAGACTGGAGGAGAAAAAGTTGGCCCGGGACTGCCGCTTCAACCTCCACAAGATACGGTCGGTCCATGCAGGCTTGCGTTTCTTCTCACTGGATATGGGGAAGAGGAATGGGGACAGAAGAAAAGGGTTGGTCAGAGAGCAGGAATGAAGAACCCCATGAGCCTACAGGGGTCCCTAACTTCAATCTACCAGTGGCTAGAGACTCCTTAGCCAGAGCTACAGGGAGCATGGCAGCATGCAGGAGGGTGCCAGACAATCCAGAGTGAGTGCTAACCTCTGTTAGACATAGCCAGACTCTTCCTACCATGTTTATACACATCAAATTGTGACCTAGAAATATTCTATTTCAATGATTCTCTTATTTCTTTAACAAAGGCCACATAAGATCAAAGAGGGTGAGACCTGAGTTTGAATTTAGCTTTCTTGCCAACTAAAGGCATGAGTGTAGGAAAAAGGGAAGCATTTGGGGAGTGCTTACCATGTGCCTGTGAGTAGTGGCATTATCATTCACCCTTCACAATAAGGTACAGAAACAGAGTCTTAGATGGGGAGTAACATTCCCAAAGTCATACAGCTACTAAGTAGTAGAGTCAAAACTGCACTCAAGGCCAGGCAGCAAGACCACATAACACAAGTTTTTTTTTTTTTTAAACATTTATTTATTGTGTGTGTGTGTGTGTGTGTCCAGCTCAGCCCACCAGGGGGCGAGGCTGGCTGGCATGTGGTGCTAGGGGATCGAACCGCAGTCCCTGTGCTTTGCCAAGGTTGTTCCAAGTAGGTGCTTTAGACCACTGAGCCATCTCGCCAGCCCAACACAAGCTCTTAACTACCAAACCACCTTCTCTTACAACTTCCTTCGTCACCTTGGAAATGGAGATAATAACTTTTACCTCAGCTGGGTATAGTGGCACATAGTGGCACATGCCTAGTTTTTGATCTCCCAGTCAGTGCCTAAGTTAGTGTCTGAACTTTTCTTTTTCCTTTGGTTTTAGGCATGTAGTTATTTTATGAAAGGATACTTAAAGCTAGAGTGTATTTAAAAATGTTTATGAGGGCCGGCAGGATAGCTCAGCAGTCTAAAGTGCCTGCTTAGGCAAGCCTAGGGACTGTGCTTTAATCCCTGGCACTGCATGCCACTCCAGCCCTGCTCCCAGGGTGGGCTGAGTGGGACACAAAAATAAATAAAATGAAATAAAAGACATATTTTTTTAAAAAAATTTTTAATTTTATTTGTGTGTGTGTGTGTGTGTGTGTGTGTGTGGCCAGCTCAGCCCACCAGGGGGGGCTGGCTGGCATGTGGTGCTGGGGGATTGAACCGTGGTCCCTGTGCTTTGCTAAGCTTGTTCTAAGTAGGTGCTTTAGACCACTGAGCCATCTCACCAGCCCGAAATAAAAGACATTATAAAAAAAAAAAAAGTTGTTTAAAAAAAATGTTTATGACATGTTTTTCCATATTAAAGGATTTCACTGTGACAGTAGAGCATATTAATCATATCAGGGTAATTAGCGTATTTTCCTTATAACTACTTTATGTTTAGATATTTGATTTCTTCTCTTCTGGGTCTTTTATTATTTATTTATTTATTTATTTATTTAGAGACAAGGTCTCACTATGTAGCCCAGGTTGGCTCTGAACTCACAGTGATCCTCCTGCCTCAGCTTCCCAAGTGCTGAGATCTCAGGCTTGTACCACCATGCCCACCTCTTACACTTATTTATTTTGGTGGTACCAGGGATCGAACTCAGGACCTTGTGCTTGCCAGGGAGGAACTTATTCCACTGAGCTATCACCCTAGCCCCACTTTATTATTTTTATGTATTTGGTACAGGGTCACTACACACTATGAGTCTCCCAGCTTGGACTTGTAGTGATCCTGTTTTAGCCTTCTCAGCGCAGGGATTACAGGCATGCACCACCACACCCAGTCTTCACGGCTGGCTCAGTGTGCCTGAGGTCCAGTTGGCATGGCATGTGATACCAGGGATTGAACCATGGTCCCTGTGCTTAGCGAAACAGGTGCTTAGTCTGCTGAGCTATCTCACTGGCACTAAATAACTGCCATTCCAGTCTTTCTTTTTATTTATTTATTTTTATTGAGAAATAAATATGAATGAGACAGTTTTACAGCTGATTAATAGGACATTTTTGATTATCAATACATTGTACATTGTTATCTTCTTAGTGGTTATCCATAATACAAGAAGCAGACAGGATATTCTGTCCAGTTAGTACACCTTTCTTCTCATTGAATTAAGTGAAAGTAGCTGTAAATTTATCCTATTTTGTATCTATAAATACAAAATGATCTTTCCTTTGTATCCTTTTTTTTATTGTTTATCAGAAGTGAATATTCCATTGACATCTAAATACTATAGGTGTTTGAATTCAACTAAACAATCTAACACTGTCTAGCAGTCTATAATATTAGTGGGTTATCCTCAGAAGTTATTGACTTGAGCTTTTTACAGGTCATTGTATTAATATGGCTTTACTTTATATACCTTGTTTTTCATTCCAGTCTTTCTGAACTCTAGAACATATTCCTTCTTGCTGTTTTTCTACTTGTTATGTAAGCTCCCTTTATTAATGCTCACTTCCTATCATTTCTAGCCTAGAGTTATGAAGCAACTGAGGCAAGGACTAGCTTTGGGAGCCTACCAGGTATCCTTAGCATTAATATAGACACCAGCAGTCATCAACTTCCCAAATGCAAAACCACAATTTCTGCTTGGCACAGTGGCACATGCCCATGGTCACAACTACTCAGGAAGCTCAGGAAGGAGGATCCCTTGAGACCAGGGGTTGGAGAACAGCCTGGACAATATAGTGGTGTTTCATCTAGAAAAACAAAACTACCAACCAGGGCTACATATTCAGTACAAACCTAGCCTGGATAGCAAGACCCTATTTCAAAACTAAAATGAAACACCTATAAGCTCAGTCTTTCTCCTAAAAAAAAAAGTCCTTCCAACCAGGCATGTGGCACAGGGCTATAATTCCAGTACTTGTGAGGCTGAGGCAGAGGATCAGCCAGGATTGTGGGGCGTTCAAGACCAGCCTGGGCTAAAAAGTGAGTTCAAGACCAGTCTGAACTCCATAGCGAGACCCTGTCTCAAAATTTTGCAGGTTGGTTTATTTATTTATTTATTTATTTATTTATTTATTTATTTATTTTTTTAGTGGAACCGGGGATTGAACTCAGGCCCTTGCACTTGCCAAGCAAGCACTTATTCTACTGAGCTATCTCCCCGGCCCCATATTTTTTAATGTATTTAGTACAGGGTCTACAGGGTCTCACTACACAGATCAGCCTCTCATAGTAATCCTGCTGTTTTCAGCCTCCCAAGTGCTGGGATTACGGGTGCATGCCACCAAATCCAGTCTCAATCGGTGTCTCAGCAGGCCCCGGGATCAAATCCCAGTCCCTGTGTCTGCCTAAGCAGGTGCTTTAATCTGCTGAGCTATCTGGCCGGCCTTAGACCCTGTCTCAAAATAGCTCAGTGTGAACACACTCAATTCAATCTCCATTAGCCTTTTTTTCCCCTCAAAGTGCCCCTCCAATCTTTTTTTTTTAAATATATTTTTTTAAATTTTTAGAATTTATTTATTTACGTGTGTGTGTGTGTGTGTGTGTGGCCAGCTCAGCCCGCCAGGGGTGGGGCTGGCTGGCATGTGGTGCTGAGGGATTGAACCGTGGTCCCTGTGCTTTGCTAAGCTTGTTCTAAGTAGGTGCTTTAGACCACTGAGCCATCTCACCAGCCCCCTCCAATCTTTATGTATTCACTCTCATATATTTGTAATCATTCTGAAACACTATTTTTGTCTCTTGCTTATTCAATTACTATTTTAAATTAACATTTCCAAGGCACTACTGTGCCTCAAGCAGCAGCAGTGACTGAGAACACTGCCTCGGTGAACGCATTCTGGATTCAGACACCAGCTGAGGGAGACTTGTCCTGGTAACTCAGAGCTGTGTGCCCTAGGCAAGCACCCTGCAGCTCTCTAGCTACACTTTTTCAACTCTAAGATAGGATCATAACTGCAGTCACTTCAAAGACCAACTGTGAGGAGAAAAGAAAAAAGTTAAGACTCATCAAGGGAGTGGTCAAGAAGCTGTATGTCTGGCTCAACCACAATCTGCCTCATAGGCTTCTTGGGCTGTTTCCGGACTTTGTTTCTTCTGCGGAGTACTTAGATACCAGCGTGTGACATCCTTATCCCAGGAACTACTACTAGAGGTCCCTGATTCACCTTGCACGTCAGGTGCCTAGTGATACTCAAACCTGGCAACAAACTACAGAAATGCACCTTCTTTTAAAAAAATCAACCCCTTCTCAGCTATTCTGTGTTGGTTCAGAGCCCAGACCCGCTGTTAGGTTGGGGTCCTCCCTGAGTCCTGACTACAGCTTTTTCTTCTTTATTCCTGGGGACCTGCTACCTCCTTTTTCCTTTTTTGGTCCAGCTCATCACTGGGCACCTGTATTGTTCCTTCTTTTCACCAAGATTTATTAGATGCCAGGCAACTGAGGAGATGACAAAAAACAGGATGTATTAAGGTCTTTTTAAAACTTCCCCCCTGTGGTGGTGGAGCGAGCTGCGGGGCAGGAACTATGGCAGGACAGGCATTTTGGAAGTTTCTCCCGCTGTTTGACTGCATGTTGGTTGAAAGGAGCACAGCTGAAACTGTCACCAAAGGAGGCATTATGCTTCCAGAAAAATCTCAAGGCAAAGTGCTGCAGGCAACTGTGGTTGCTGTGGGGTCCGGCTCCAAGGGGAAGGGTGGAGAGATCCAACCAGTTAGTGTGAAAGTTGGAGATAAAGTTCTTCTTCCAGAATATGGAGGCATCAAAGTAGTTCTAGACGACAAGGATTATTTCTTGTTTAGAGATGGTGACATTCTTTGGAAAATATGTAGAGTGAAGTAAATCACTGTTGAAGTGGCGTCACCAACACTGCCCATTCCACTGAAGTTCTGTGTCTTTCATCATGTACATAATTTCCATGTCTCTTTTATAATAAACTGATGATATCTAAACTAATCACATATTTTCTCTAAACTTTAGTTTCACTGTACTGGTGTAAACACT